AATGAGAGGGCAGCGTTACCAGAGTTGCCCATATACCACACCATGTTATAGCACAGTAGGGCTATTGCAGACAGAAACAATACTGTACTACATCGATGTTTCCGGTCGGCTCAATTTTTGAGTGAACTTTGCTGTTCCGATGAGCATGAAGGGTATACGAGTGGAGCACTCACATGGGCCGTGAGCGACTGAGCAGAGCACACACGCATAGAGCGGGATAATACGCAGAGCGTCACACCACGTGAAAGTGAAACCTGAGCGGTGAACTAATTTTCGGCAGCCGAAATTTCGGTGCATCTCTAATTATTGGCGACATCAGAAATGGATATTATATAATAGATGCTTTTTTGAACATTTTAGCAATTTAAAAGTATTAAAAAAAAGATTTTTTACACGGCACCCCGGTTGGGAAACACTGGTCTAGGGAACACAGCAGCTCACTAGGGTTAGAGAAGCAGCTCCAGTCTGAGCTCTCAGAAAAATGAATGAATTTAATCAAGCGAGAATAAATTCTGAAAGACACTTAGAAGGACAGAATAAATCATTGATATTCATCTGTCATCACTGAACAAGAGACAATGAGCACTGGGTGTGTGTAAATAAAACAAGATAAAGTGGGAAAAAAGAAAATACAAGTGGTGGGAATGTAAACTCAGGACAACCGTGATGTCTTTTTTTTTTTCCCCTCCTTGTATTGATTTCAGCATGACAGACTACATGCAATACACTGCAGATACTCATTAACACTGTTAACTGTTCCTGTGGTTCAGTGGTAGAGCATTGCGTTAGCAGCGCAAAGGTCGTGGGTTCAAGTCCCAGGGAACACACATACTGGTAAAAAAATGTATAGCCTGAATGCACTGTAAGTTGCTTTGGATACAAGCGTCTGCTAAACGCATACATTTAATTTAATTTAATTTAACACATTTGTAGATACATATTAGTTCGTCAAATTAATGTTACTTAAGTATAAATAAAATTTCAACGCCTTTTTTTTCTTTTAAGTATATAATTTATGCATTTGCATAATAGTTGTAAGTCTGAGACAAAGTTTTGTTTATGTTTATTATGTTTATATATGGTTTTAAATGTTGTGTGTTGTTATGATTGGTGATGCAGTGGCTGCTTTTTGAGCCCAAGAAAAATTTCCCCTGGGACAATAAGTATACTTTAGCCATAAACCTTAAAAACATGTCAAAAGTATTTAGTCACAGTAGTTTCTGAATACAAACAGTATCAATATTGATCCATTTTTAAATGTTATGTACATGTACACGACCGTTCAAAAGTATGGGGTCAGCAGGATTTTAAAAATGTTTTTGAAAGAAGTCTCTTATGCTCACCAAGGCTAAATTTATTTGATTAAAAATCAGTAATAAAAGATCATTATGATCATTATGTGAAAAATTAAAATAAATGTTTTCTATTTAAATATATTTTACAAAGTCATTTATTCCTGTGATGCAAAGCTGAATTTTCAGCATCATTACTACAGTCTTCAGTGTCACATGATCCTTCAGAAATGATATGCTGATTGGTTGCTCAAGAAACATTTCTTATTATTACAGACTCCTAACTTTTAAACGGTAGTATATGTTTTTACTTTACAAAGGAAATGTGTGTATATGTCTGTGAAAAACACAGGCTAACAATTACAGTTGACACTCTGAATAATGGGAAGCCCCTGCAGTAGCCCCGGCTCAGTGGAGCGTAGAGCACAGGAGAGGGGTGCAAAGGTCAAATCATTTGATCTTTTCTGGGACGCAGCATGTGAGATACACACTATCACCATATCAGGTGAAAGTGAGACAACTGCTATCGAATGGCTGCTATGTTATGGTGCGTGGTAGAGTAGTACACATGCATATACACCCAACAAGTGTGCTGACCAGTGTCAACCGCACAGCTTCCCAAACCAGTGGGAAAGAGAGATACGCGAAAAATCAAGCACAAAGAAAACAGGAGAAAATGTGTCACGCACAAAAATAAATCAGAAGACTTCAATCCCTGCATTACCTCCCTAACAAAACCATGACTGTACTATTTATACAATAATATACCATAGCTGCTTTATAAAAACCATAGTCAACATTCATTGTCATCTCCAGTGACAATGTCAGTGGGAAGCTGTGTGGAAACATAAAACATATTTAGTAACCATTTAGACTGTTTAAATGCACATTACACATCACATTTGGTGTGTCAGCTAGAGCATATGCTCCAGGCATGTTCACTTGCTCATATGGGTTACACAGGTTTGAGCATGGCCTGCGATGTGTCCCAGTTCTATTATCCCCCTCTTTTCCCTATAATCTCCTGTCAGTCCCACTATAACGTCTGATAAAAAGTCTTGAAGCTCACTTGAACCTGTGGTGGTGTATCTACAAAATAATTTGTGATGCTACCAACTATGACCATTAAAAAATACTATAGTATATATAAGAGCTTTTATTTTATTTGAATTGCAGACTTGTGTTCTCCGTCATTTACAAAATGACTTCAAACTTCAACAGTGACATTTATGAAAATGGGCTATGACACACATACTTATGTCTGATATACAGCATCTGAACTGCAGACTAAAGAAAATGCAAATGCACAATGCTTGTGATTAAAGAGCAGAGATGTGAAGTACCCTTGCCTGTCTTTTCCAGTAAGTAGATTTTTGGCAGACTACCATATTAGTTTTAAAATCCCTGCACAGCAAAAAGAGGAGAAAAAAAAGCAATATGATGAGATTTATACTGCTGTTTCTTATTGAGTCCACTAAATGAGGTCGCTTCTCAAACAACTTCTTTTTTCAGATCCCTAATCCACACTACAGTCTGCCAGCTTCTATACTGACAATAATGAACAGTCTAGCAGTGTTCACAATAAGCATGAACAATATAAACAGTCTCCTGTTTCACTGAATGTAGCTAAAATCTTATTATAAAATGGATAGTTTCTGTTCTGGCTTCTGATTGGTCAATAGAGCATTCCAAGAGTGCTAAAATATGAAGTTAGACTTGAAACATTCACTATATCACTGCACAAAACCCATAGCATAACATTACTACTGTTTAAATCTTCACAATGAGAGGACTTCATGAAATTGGCTGATAAAATAATATTTTAATCAATAATGTGTCATTATTTTTATAAGACAGCAACCGTTTTCTAAACTCAGGCACCTGAGGCCAGGCTAGCAACTTTACTGACTATTACCAATAAAACACAGCCTTACCGCTAGTGGGCCCTGTTGGTGACAGTGTTTACTTCCTTTTCAATTAGATTTTTATTAAATATTTATTTGTGAAAAATGCTTGTGAAAAGTATGTTTATTTTACACAATTATTTTTAATCCATTTTCAAATGATTTCAAATTTCTTAAATATTAATTTACTGACTATTACCAATAAAACACAGCCTTACCGCTAGTGGTCGACCGATATATCGCCAAGGCCGATATATCGGCCAATATTTGGCATTTTTCAAATATCGCCATTGGCCGATAAGTTTTTCTGTTTTGCCGATGTGTTCGAGGCGGACTTATTTTGACGGCGTGGCGGACTTTTATTTTGACGGTGCTGAGAACGTCAGTGCCTGAGCACATAGTGCTCACATTCTCCCTCTTGTTCGCTGTCGTCGTTAACAGTTCTGTCTAATATGGATAGGTCTATCGTATTATAACGATTGCTTTAATATTATTAGTAATAGAAAGGCAAACATTATAATACTTTCACATTTGCCGTCAGCATTCAGCAAACACGCATTTATATCATTTAAACAAATCTTTAAATGACTAATGAACATTTAATTTCACAAACCTTGCAGACTTAGTTGAATCCAGCTGTGAGATCTTATGAAGTGTGCATTTGTATCCTGCATCATCGCGTGTGCTCTGCGTGACTGACGGTCCGTGCGAATTGAATGCGGACAGGAGGAGAGTTCAGCTTCACTGGAGACGCGAGATCGACTAACTTTAAACTCATGATTTCAAATTATGCTGCGCTTATGCATTTGCCACTGTCATATTCATGTCATTTTCATTGCGTGCTGTATGTAAAATGAGTTATATATATATGATTCCCAATGCACACAAACTTACCAGAATACTGAGTGCCCTGTTGGTTACAGTATTTACTTCCTTTTCAATTAGA